TCATGGAGGTGGGTTGAGTTTGTAATTTAGAGCATCTTTTGTCAATAGCCTTGTTAATTTGTTGTTTGATTTCTTTAATATTTTCTAGATTACGAGCATAGAAAAGGCTTTTTCACTCAGAGTTAGCATTGGTAATCCAAGAGTTAAGAAGTTGATGTGTAAGTAAGATCAAGGGGATATTTAAACTAGCAGAGTGATTGATCTTGGTAATAGAAGAGTTAAGATGGAAAGGAATAGGAGAAGAATGTTTAAGAGCAAATTTAATGTGTCAAATAACATTGCCAAGTTTTTTGAGATTGGAGTGTAGATGTGTTGCTTTCGAGGAGAAGATGTGTTGGAAGTTACAGACTGTATATTTTTTGTTGGGGATATGTTGTAATGCAGAAATTAAGAAATATTGTTTTATTTTAAATTATTTAATTTTTATCTAAATTTACTTATATTATTTTTTAAAAGGATATCAACCTTAAACAATTTGCAATATGCCAAGGATATAAAACTGAAAATCAACTCACTTATTTCAAGAAATGTTATGATCATTACAAATCTTGGGATTCAATCTACAACATTTATCATCAAGCAATGGCTATAAAATTGATGTGGCCATACGTCAAGAATCATTCTAATCTGTTGGTAGAGGAATACCTTGCCTGGGTAAAAAAGCAAAAGAATTCAGTTTATCAATTAAAATTTGAACAGGTAGAATTATTATATTTTGATTAAAAATTCAAACCTTACTATTAATATTTCTAAATTTTTTTAAATAGATTTTTACTTATCTCCAAGCTATTATTAATTACAGGACAGCTATTAAAAATAATAATTCTTTGTTAAGAAGAGCTGCAAAAAGAGTATTCTTACCAATATGGTCTACACGATGTTACCCAATATACTATCTAATAGACTTTTTAGATAAAATACAACTGATGTAGCTTGATTTGATGATATGTGATATTATAGAATATAACAGTGTAGTTTCTTGATCAGGGTGCTTTAATCAATACCAGGGGTTAGATGTGATTTTAGAAGAAATAAATAAGATCTTAAAAACATTGATACCACCTGTTTTACAAGCATGACATTAGAAAATTGCCACGAGAAATTGTAAAAAATTTCTTCAGATAATCTATTATATTTGATTTTATTAATAACTTAATAATAAAATTTTTATAAATTCTAACTTACAATAAATTAATTATTAAATTTTTAAATTTAGCTATGATGCAATTTCTTTAAGTCAATCGGATATAACGATCTTCAAACAACTAGTTTAAGAACATGACCATAATCAAGTACAGAATGCCAGAGATTCAGAATTCGTTTACAACGTGATGCCTTTATTGACCCTTTTAAATCAGTGACTATATACAAGGGCTTGGGAGGGTATGAATTAAGTGCACAGTTATTAAATTTTACAGATTTATCAAAGCAAGTATGAAAAAGGTATTTTGATAAAGCATTTTGTAAAAATAATTCTGATTCTTCTTTTAAGCCAATTTCAGTATCTAAAAAAAGAAAAAATCATACAAGAAGCGGATGAAAATATGCCAAGACCAGAAATAATTGGCAAGATCAATGGCTTTTTAGAATAGATGAGTAAAAGTATTCAAAAAAAATACTGTGAATTTAGACAAAAAAGGTGAAATGAATTATTAATTATATTAGAAGAGATAAGAGTCTTATTTAATTCAAAAAATAAACATGATAACAATGATTATTCTGAAAATTCAGAAACATAGAAGCATCAAGAATTGTTACTATCAATGGAAAAGCAATATGAGTAAGATAAGTTTATCATTGTATGAGTTAGGGTTAGGGTTAAGATTAGGATTAGGGTTAATAGATGTGTCAAAAATCTTCCTTTTACATTTTTTTAAAAGATATTTTGTTACTCTTAGAAGCATTTATATGTTAAAATTTTAATTTTTTTATATATATTAATTTAATATTTCTGGGTTCTAAACAAAAAAATAAAAGCATTGGTCTAAATCATCTAAAACAATGATAAAAGCAGATATACTGATAATAAATAGAATTATTGTATAATTCAGTAATTTATTAAATTCAAATAAATATTTTCATATACTACAAAAATATTTTATATAATTCTATTGTGATAAATTATTTTGTTTGTATTTGTTTATAAATTTATGCTGTTGTTTCTTGTCAGAATTTTTGATAGGCAATACAATAAATAAGGATAATTTTTATTGAGATATTAGTGGTTATTGTACATTGTAATTCCAATTCAAATTCTAAAAGATGATTTTAATACCTTATAGTGCTTTGCAAGAAAGGTGGCAATTATAGTTGCTATCCAAATAGTTATAACTATTGGTTCAAATTGGATATATCTGAAATTTTGTCCCAAATCCCAATTTATATAGTAAGTTTGGAACAAGTTCTATAGCTTTAGCTAGTTCAAAATAGTGGTTAATACTCTAAAAAGTTTCAAAGTTTCAAACTAATTAGATTTGGATAGCAACTATAGTGGTGATTCAAAAGTTCTGCAAATTTCTAATAAATATGTAATATTACTGAATAAATATATGATTAATAGACTGTAAAATTTCCAGAGAATACAAAAATCACTAGGATATATCTTTTTGTAAACTGCTATATATAAGCAAAAAAAAAAAAGTTAAAGTAATTATATAAAGAAATTATAATTATCTTTATAAAGTCTATATACAAATAAATATAAAGAAGCCAACTTATAATTGCAGAATTACGGATACAAATAAAAATAGAAGAAATATGTAGAATAAATTAAATAAGACAGAAGAAAATAAAAAAAATATAACTATATATTGCACTCAAAGTTTGCCAAAAATCAATTAGTTTATAGGCTCTTAATTTGATTGGTCAATCATTGTAATTCGTAGAACAATCTAGAAAGAAATCTAGAATAATCTGACTAAAAATTATTACTAAATAAGATGCAATCGTTAATTGCCAAATATGGTAAAATCCCTAACTGAACTAATATGTTTTGATACCAACGTTGTAGTATAATCCTAATAAAGAACCTAGCGACTTTTGAGGTAAGCATTACTACAAAAAAGTGGTGACATACAAGACCACGATTGATTAAAGTTAAACATGTGCAAAGGTGTGAGGTATCATCATAAAGCACAATAAAATGAATGCTTTTTTTGTCTAATATAGTAACACACCAAATTTCATGAATCCTTGTTAATTCAATACCAGAAATTAATTGGTCTAATTCAATTATGTGCATATTAAACATGTCATTTGTAAACATTTCATTCAGTGGCTTATCACTTGCCTAAAAAAAAAAAAAACTAAATTAAATATACAATTTTAAACTTATTACAATTTAATAACAATAACTTATATATAGCCCAATTTCATCCTTCAAATCAATAATATAATACCAGTAATGTATACTACAATTAATCTCATTCTGTTGAAGTTTCATAATCATGAGTGTTAAAAAATTTTGATATGAAATATCAACCTTATTGAAGTATCTAGTATAATAACTTTCTTCTTGGTTCATAGAGAGCTGGCCAATAGTTTTATTAAGACACACAAAATAACCCTCTTTTTCTAATAATCTCTCTATGTTATACACCAATTCTGATAGACTTTACAACCTATTTATTTGTTTTTTAATTATCGTATTATAGGATTCAACCCATTGTGTGCTTTGTACACCTGCATTAAATATATGGTGCGTAAAGCACAAAGCCCAAGATTTTTTATACTAATAAAGTTGATATTGCAAATAATGCATTAATATACTTTTGCAAAAAGGCATTTCATCTTTTTTCAAAGACCAATTCAACATGACTATTATGTGCATAACAGAAATCTTTAAAAAATAATTCTCAATTTTTACAGTATTTACTAAAGAAATGCTTCTCTAAATTTTTGCAAATGTGAAAGAGGCAAAAATGATGTTTTGTTATTGGTAATGAAGTACTTATAGCAGCAATCATAGCAGGATTGGCATCTGTATAAAGTAAACGTAGTGCCAACCTGCTAGTTGTCTTAAGTATATTCATAAGTAGCTACATATATGTTGTTGATTGGGACTTATCCAAAAGAGTCTTGTGAGATAATTGTCATGACCCTTGAAATGCGCGTTAATATAAAATGTAGGATCCACTTGTTGGTGCTTTAAAAGTTCAAGAAACATCACTCCAGCATCACTAACTCCTTTTTTTTGCTCATGTAACATCTGAATTATATTGTATACATTATGAGTGTGAATATACTTTCCCAGATTTTTTCTTTGTAACACTTTCACAATTGCTCTAGTATGCACTTCACTAGCTAAAAATAACTTTATCTCATTGCATATTTCAGAAGTAAGATTCTGATAATGAGTTGCGACCACTTCTATATTTTTTATAAGCTCATGATTATGCTGACCACCAATTTTTGTTATATAGATTATATTGTCATTTTTGCATCAATATGCATTTATATAGTATCCATATTTACTAATATGATGATCTTGGTTACATTCTTTAATAATATGCATCTCTTTTTGTGGAGCATATGGTCTATCCCTCATATACTTATAAACATAATGCCAAAGAATTCTATTATCTGTATCTTTTTCGCTATGGGTGATTGTAAATGCAAAGCCATGCTCCAACCTATGGCTATCAAGCCACCTGAATAATCACGGTAAGAAAATTTTAATGCTATAATATCAAAATTATATATGCTGACGAAATTATTTTGGGGTCTAAAACCCGAAATTAAAATTTGAAGACGAAATTGTTTTTGATCTATTTTACTTAAAAGATGAAATTTTTTAACACTTTTTTTGAATAGACGAAATTATAAGGAGTATAAATATATAAATTTTATTTGCTCTTTTTTATAAAAAATTTTAATTTGCTCTAATGGAGACGAAATAGGCCTTTTTTGAAAATCAATTTCGGTGGCATCTATAATCAAAATACACTAATATGTACCCGAGGGCATCCTATTAAGGAAAAAAAAAAACACTAATGCATTGCTTATCCATTTAGCTCTAGCCACTTTTTGAAGGCCATAACTAATATAATAGAATATGCAGGATTGTCACCATCATCCTCTTGATATTCCACAATTTCATTTACTTCTGAACTATTGTTTTCTATAATATAGGAAACCTTATCAACTAATACTAGCACATTGTTCACATCCCTAAATTCAGAAGTGATAAAGTCATCTAAATAATCACAGTATAAAATTCTTAACACTGTAATATCAAAATACACTAATACATTGCTTACCCATTTAGATCTATCCAATTTTCAAAGACTATATTTACTGCAGAATTATCACCACTATCCTCTTGATATTCCACAACTTCATTTACTTCTGAGTTATTATTTCTTGTCATGTAGAAAACCTTATCAAATGGTAATGACACATTGTTCACATCTCCAAATTCAGAAATGATATTTTCAACGAAACCATCTTCAATAATCAAATTGTTCATTGTTATATTTGGACACTATATATGTACTACATAATAACAAAGTAAATGGTTATGCCGTGATAAAAAACAGACACACAACAAGAATTTATTTTATCTTTTTATGTGTTTAAAATAATACGAGATGGATGAATAATTAGACACCTATATATCATATAATAATAAAGTAAAAATAAGATCAATGTAAAAAAAAATTTTTTAAATAAAATTAGTATAGCAAAAACTTATGTTCCCCTTTGTTATATTTGATCCATGAAAAATTGGTTAGAATGATAATTATTTTTAAGAACTAGATACCTAATTATCATATTACATCAAAGCAAAGTTAGATTATAGATCAAAAAGATAAAACACTATTAAACCAGGTAGTATAATGGACATAACACATTTTTTTTAATAAACAGTATGTGAAAAAAATCACTTGGTGCTAATACAATACTGAGGATAAACAACCAGACACTTCTTAATCATGTAAAAGAAAGTATACAAAACAAAGAGGTAAGATATTTATTAAATCAAGAAAATAAACTTAGTCTAGTAAAAATATTACTTTACGAAAGAAGACCACTGATGTTGACAACAGCAGATAAATAGCTAGACGACTATTTATATGCAAAAAAAAATTGAAGCAAAAGGTTAGGGTAAATTGAAATGAAATATTTTATTAAGTCTGGACAAAAATCAAGTAAATGTGGCAAGACTTTACAAGCTCAATTTATGATAAAAATGACTTGGTGCTAACATAAGCAGTCAAATAGTTGGATATCTATTTATTGTGCAAAAAAGGTAAAATAAAAGTTTAAAGCAAAGCAAAGAAATAGAATATCCAATGAATATGTAAAAATAATTAGGCACAGCAATACTTTTACAAGTTCAATTTACACTTGACTTTAACGAATACAGATCGATAGCTAGACACACAAAGAGTAAGTACCAAAACAAGTTAAATATTTGTGAACAAACAAAAAAATTAAGATTTGAGTACCGCAAAGAGAAAAGCTATAGATAAGATTTGCAGTTTTTCCTTTGCGGCACTTATTTGTTAAAAAAAAATATAGAAAAGATATTTGTTAAACAAATAAAAAAATAATCAGATACAGAAAAATTTATCTTTAAATTCAGTTCACTACTTCATATTAATAAGGACAAATGAAAAAATTGAATATATTATAGTAGTGAAAGGTAAGGTCAAAACTGAGTGAAAATAATAACATGTTAAAGTAGCAAAAGATGGAACCAAAACACAATCGAAGCCTTTTATACAAAGTTTTGACTCACATTGTTAACTATAAAAGTTATAACATATATACTTAATAGAAGTATATATTATTATTATACAGTCAACCCCCTCTATAATCACACATTTTGTTTACTTAATAACTTTTTTAAAAAATGTGCTTATAAAGAGGTTGTGCTTATATA